TTCCAAAAGCTTCTACAGAAATTGCAGCTAAAGTACATGCAGAGATAGCAGATTTTGAGAGAGATGGGGAATGGGATGCTGCTGTGGAAATGGTGGTTAAGGCAGGAGATCCAAAAGCTAGGTCATTGCCAGTTAACAACTGATATCGATTTCGTCGCAGCCTTGAGATAATCAAGGTCAGTGATAATGGTTTAAAGGTCTTTGTATCCTCGCAGCCATTCGCAATCCCACCCCTTTGAGTACAGAGATGCATGGTGATGTTTGCATATAGGCCATGTCATGTATGTTGCTTTGGAAAAAATTCATTTAACAATAAACTCGTTATTTTATTTTTTATTTTTTGTTCTCCGAAACATCCTAATTTTGTCTTTGTAGTTCCGTGAGTTAAATATTGTGATGAGATTTTCTTCTGTTTGACTCACATATGAAGGGTGATAGCTCAGACATCTACATCATATGTGCTCACGTTTCTTGATTGTATTTCTTGGTATGGCAGTCTACTGGATCACCTCCATCTGCCTTTCATATACCATATGATTCTTTCAAACAACAATTTGATTCAAGTGGAACAAATGATTCTCACAACTTGAGCCCTTCTTGTGTTGTACCTTAGCAAGTTACCGCAAAGGAATTGGACTATGAGTTCATTTGTTTTTTCCTTTCAAGCCCCACACTTGATCTGTATAGATTAATTGACTTAAAGTGTGAAGAAATGCTTACAGGGAACCTGAGACTTAATTGTATAGCTTGTGAGCTCTTCTAACATAACATTTACAACTATGATTATTGACCCTACCATCACATGTAAATTTTTTATGATTGAATTTGTTACTAGTCTTATATTTCATGTGGGCCATGTTTGTATTTTGATTGCAGTAAGAACAGATGGGATCTTGTCTGAAGCTAGATGGCTTCTTGATCTTGATCTTGTCGAGCAACTGGTTAGAGACATGTATGTCTTTGTTAACCGTATTGCTTTTCCTCTTCATTATGTATCAATCTCCAGGATATGCAAACGATGGCTAACTTCGAAATTCATTTCTTGATCCCCCAGAATGCTTATTTTTGTGAAGTGCTTCAGTTTCTTTGTTCGAGTCAATTCCCTTATAAAGTAAATACTCAAATACTCTTTTAAGGCTATCATAAAGTTCTTCTGAATTACCTTAGTTATGATCATATATATGAAATAACAATTTGGGAAATGTTAAAACAGAAGCCCTATAAATGCACCACATCATCTTGAAAGAACACACGTTCTTAATTTCTACATCTAGTTAGTTTCATTGATAAATAAATAATAAACTAATTAACAAATTTCAAATGTTGAACTTTGATGTTGTGTCATGTCAGAATCTTGTGTTTTCCACAACTTGGAAGCTTTAAAACTCCACATATTGAACTTCAAATAATTATCTTGATAACTTGCAAATGTATATAGAAAAAGAATGGAATTCAGACTAAATACATGTTTCTTCCAATTAAATTTTCAAGAAAGAGAAGGAAAAATTGTCCAGTAAAGACCCACATAAGCGCTTGATGACTTCCAAAAACATTGTTCTTTACTTGGTTTACTCCATGCTTCTATAGATGCGTATCTGAATGACTATTCCTTGGGACATTTCTGTCCAATGTAGTTATTGGTGTATGTAATGCCAGTAATGGTGTTCTACGGGGAATACTCTTGATCTTGGAAATCTAGCTACTCTGTTAAAAAGACATATTGGAATGTGCTTACTGAGAAATACTTCAAGGTATATTATGCCATCTGGATTTTTTTGAAATTGATCACTCAACGAATGCTTTAACAGTAGTTCTCATCTGATTTCGTCATCTCCAACTGCAACATGCTTATTGAAGAAGTTTGTTCAGTTCACGTGTAGGTCTTGATGTTAGCTCGGATGTGTCAACTGGAGAACAAAATATTTTCTGTTGGAGAACCTTCTTATCGGTAAACTCCCTAGTCCCTACATTCTACCATGACTGAGTTTTCAAATTGTGCTGAAGATCTTTTGCTTGTATTCATCATCAAGAACAACTTTTTCTGTCTAATTTCAGTGCTCGTAGAAGTAGAATCAAAAGGGTGCGAGAAGGCTTTGAGAATTCCCTCAAGGGAAGGATTGAACTTATTGACAGTTATGCAAGAGTATGTGTTTCTATCCGTAAAAACACCATAACTCAAGACATGAGAAACCCCTCCTCCACTTGCTCCCCTACTCAAAGGGGTAGTGAAAAGAAAGGACAAAAATATATCCTTTATGTTTTCTCTTCACCGAATATATGGTGAAATCTTTCATTTTTCAGACCTCTTCAATGATTGAAATTGAGGTGGAAATGGACTCTGATGTCCTTGCTGCTGAATCAGCAAGA